TCACACTGCGGTACCGTTCCCTCCGCTCGTTATTTACATCCAAGGTTCAGGTACTCACACAGGGGCTCCCTCCCAGCTACGGGTCGCTCACTTTAGCAATCACCACGTGGGAGACAGTAAAGGGAAGTCACAGCTGCCACGCTCGGCATCGCGGCTGGGCTAACAAGACTCACCTTTGGGGGGAGTTTACAAAAGTTAGATGGTAAGTTCAGTATTAGAGAGAGAATTGTGGGCGCTGTTAATCCATGAAGTGCATGTCACATACGGTTTCTGCATTTGTACTATTAATGTATTCAGTCACCAATTAAAAGAGGTAACACTCTGCACCCTGGATCACCCTGTACACTTTGTTACTGGAGATTAGAGCCAGGATAATATCAGTTCCTTACCTATACCATAGGCTGCCCAAACAGACTGCCAACACTTCCAGCTGTCCCTCTGTTCACGGCAAAGTCTTTCTATTACCTCTACACTCACCGTTACCGTTACGGTTATCGCCATCTGGTGGCTTTAGGTGGAATGACTTTAAGTTGTGATTACTATGCTAGCAGGTCACTTTGCAATGTGCTGCAGAGAGGTATTAGAATACAGGTTCCACGTTCCAAGGGGGCGTGGAGGGGGTTAAAATCTAGTTACTGTATCCAGCATGGGTATTTATATGCAGGGCTAGTTAGACTCTTTTTACAGCTGGCAGCACTCCATTGAACAGGATCCCTTTTGTTATCAATACTCAAGACCCTAGCTACTTCTTTTTATTAGGAGCCTTATGGGATATGTGAATTAAAACCTTCCAATAAGATTTATCTATCTATATGGTAAGCTATTTACATAGGGTTAATATGCTATTGATAGAAACTCATTCTTTGACACATTACCAGATGAGTTTTCTAGCCAAACGCACAGGCAATATTACCATTACAATCTAGGTGGACACAGAGAATACTAGAATAGAGGAATTTATCTTGTCTTTACTTACCTCCACTGTCATTTTCCCGACTGTTGTCTAATCACGTCTGGGGTTTCCTCTGGATCTCCCCAAGTATGCTCTTACGCTGTATACACCTATACCCTTATCCCTTTCACAGATAATTATATGCAATATTATCTTGAGTTTGAATATAGTCCTGGCAATAGCCACACTCTCGTGCCACTTGGCAATTGTATTGATAGGGCTACCTAATCAACTCATAATACACATTGTATATTCCTCTGATGATACTTGATCTATGTCTAGATCAGTATCCTTTTTCATTATGGCAACTTTGTATCAGGGACAACACTACCTATACTATTAAGCTTCAGTAGTTGGTCCTATTTTAAAGAGTTGTTTAATTCTCTGCACTTATTATTCACTATGGTTTATTTTTTACGTTCTACATGTGTGTACCCAATTAAGGGAATAAAGTTATTTATTATTTTATAGGGTTTTTTTTTGCTTTTTTAAGAATAAGGCACTTTACTCCAATTATCTATTAGCCTCCCTTAGGGTTATAGGACTGGGATCAGATGTACTCCTTTTCAGATCCCTTCTCAGCCCTTCCTATCATCTCGTATCACTATGGATTGCCTCTCATGATATTGTGGGGAATTATCCGTTGTGTTGAAGGCATGGAACCCTAGACTGAGTAAGAAGTTGTCTATCCCAGATTTCGTTATTGCCTTTGGGATTAATAGAGATGTCAAATGCTCTGTACACCCTCACAGGATAGAAGAGCTGAACCTCTACTTGCATAAGCTGGTGGACTTAGGTAACAAATATGGTGGTACTTCATTCTTTGATTACCACCAATCTTTTTCAGCGAAGGCATCTGCCATTCTGGCTCGGTTTAACATCAAAATCAAAACTGATTGGAGCCAGATGGACACTGAGCTGTTTTGCAGGCACTCCGCTGGTATGAGGACACCAGCTTGTGCAATCTGTGCATCCAATTCACATGCCACGGATTACTGTTCAATAGTACCCGATACCTCTCCTTCTATGGCTTTCCCAGGAGCCAGAACCAGGCCCAACAAGTCAGTTAAGGATAAACTGAGTCGCTCCATAGTGTATTTAGGGAAATCACAGGTGTGTAATAACTTCAATGAGGGTACCTGCGGTTATAGTGCCTGCTGCTTGTTGCATGTATGCTCTTTATGTACTGCTTTAGGGCACATGCAAAGTCTATGTGCCCAAATAAAATGCATTCTAAACCCTATCTCACCTCCGTGAATGCTTCTCACCCTTCCACACACTTGGTCGATGTCTTGATTAAGGGTTTCATACAGGGTTTCCATACCGGTCCTATTCACATTCCAGCAGGCATTGTGGAATGCAATA